GAACGGTTCGTCCTTTCCGCCTTGCCATTTTGTTGCGGACTATAAGGAGCCGCCTGTTGCAGCGTAATCCCATTTTCACTCAAGTAATTTTTCAACTTATTGCTTGAGTATTTGCCTCCACCATCAGTTCGAAGGATTTTGGGCTTCCTTCCGAACAAATTCTCAACCAGGCTCACGTAACTGCGTATCTTCTCATACGCATGCGATTTGTGCTTCAGTAGATAGACGATAGTGAACTTACGGAAATCATCAATCATCGTCATCACATATTCGTTGCTGCTAGGAGTTGGGACATCCATCGATCCACAAAGGTCGGAATGCACGAGATCCAGAACAGCTGTTGACCTCGAATTCGAAATCGGAAACGATGCTCTCGGCAGCTTTCCCTCCCAGCAAACTTCACATACCGATCTAACATCGCAGTCGCGAAACCTGCTCCCATCTTCTCACTGACGGTCCTCTTAACTGCGTCCGGGTGACGATGGCCCAAACGGTGACGCCAAAAATGCTGACACATGTTCGAATGTCCAACCGCAGACAAGATATACTGCTGGCTTGGGTGTTTTAAATAATACAAGCCCCCTTCCGTTCTTCAACAACAACTGCTTTACCGTTACGTAGTATTTGGCATCCTCCGAATTCAAAAATCACCTCGTATCCTTCTTCGGTGATACGGCTCACCAACAACAAATTACCAGCCAAGCCAGGCACGAACAATGCATTTATGATAGAAATGGTTTTGCACTCACCGTTTTCGCCGATCACATTCAGCTTACCCGTACCAATTCCTTTCGCTGGAATCTTCCTGCCATTCGCCAGACAAACAACCTCATTCGACTTCGAAAGCACTTCCAAGTTCTCCGCTTTTCCAGTCATGTGCTTGGTGCAGCCGGAATCCAGCGCAACCATTTGTCGTCCCCCGGTGGTAAAACAATCGTCTTCACCGGACACTACCGAGTAACACACTTCGAGGCGAGGGGGCTGTGCTTCCATTTATTAACGTCCTTTTAAACAAACCACCTTGAGAAGGTGGAAATAGTTCATTCAGGACGGCCAAGTCGTAACCAGACCGAGCCGGTTCGCATCCCCAGGTAGCGATAATCACAGGCTACTTCGAGTGTTGGCAATAACCTTATTGCTCTGTCATCGTCATCACGGGCACTACCGATAATTGACAGTAGTGCTTTGGTGACAACGATGATCCCCCGTTCTTGTTCGCATTACTGACGGCAAATATCACCGCCAGCAATCCCAGAAACACGATTGATTGTGATTTTGAAGATTTCCTGCAAAAAGGTGGAGAGCGATGCGAGTAGATGGGTTTAGATGCGAGAGATGAAAAAAGATTTTTCGTAGATTGATTCGGTAGTGTGAAATTTTTAGACCATTTAAAATCGAGCTTTAGATGTGTCGCACCCCTCGCTTCGAGGTTACCCTAGTAGCACGCTTGTCACAAATTGATTGTTGCAACTTCTATACAACTTATATCAGTCATAAACAAGTTGCTACAACTTATGTTGACGGAAATGTGCTACTCGGGTATCTTCTTCCTTCTGCTGCGTTACCGACACTTTTGTTTTCTGCTGAGATTTCGTCTTTGCATTTTCACTGCCACTGTTCATTTGCTTGCCTGCCTTCAGCTTCGGACAGCTCCGCCGAAAATGTACCTATTGTTTACAATAATGGCACAGCAACTTCTTCTTTTCATCACTTTCACTTCGACCAGACACTTTCATCGCTTTGTCCACCAGTTTGTTTTCACTACGCCGTCGCCATTCGTCCAGAAGTTTTCCCTTGACAAACTCGAGCTTCAATTCTTCAACCGGGCGACTTTCCAAGGTCGAAAGCAAAGCACTATAGTTCTCGGGTAGATTCGACAATATGATGGCAATAATCAGGTGATCATCCAACTTTTCACCGATCGCGTTCAACCTATGCACGAACTCGATCACTTGCATCAGGTGCTCCAACATGTCACCACCCGGCGTCAACCGCAACGAAAACAATCTTCGCAGAACGTGTATTTTATTGATGAGAGAGTTCCGTTCAAGGTAACTCTTCAATGCCACCCACATTTCATTCGCTGACGTGATGCTCATGACGTGGCACAATTGGTCGTTTTCCAACGCAAGACCAATAATCACACGAGCCTTTCCATCCTGAGTCTTCCACAAGAGAGTCGGTTCCTCCGGCTTCGGTTGCATAACAACATCGTGCAGCTCCTCTCTAACCAGCAGCAGTTCTAACCTGAACTTCCAACTTGCCCAGTTAAAGTTGCTGAGCAGTTCCATCACGATTCTTGCATCCGCCATTTTGTCACCTCAACTCGTCTGAGAAGCGCGTGATTGGTTGGTGGCCAATCGACGAAAGAATGTGCAGGTTGAGAATCAAGGGCCGATTCTTCAACTTTAGCATAATCAATGTGCACAGTCCTCACTCCGGAAGCACTGATGATGACAAGGACGCATTTTACGCGCAGCTCGACCGCGAGTACGATCGCTGCCCAAGCCACGACGTCAAGATCATCATAGGAGACCTAAACGCTCAGGTAGGCCAGGAGGAAGAATTCAGACCGACGATTGGAAAATTCAGCGCCCACCAGCTGACGAACAGGAATGGCCTACGACTCATCGATTTTGCCGCCTCCAAGAACATGGCCGTACGTAGCACTTTTTTCCAACACAGCCTCCCTAATCGTTACACCTGGAGATCACCACAGCAGACGGAATCGCAAATCGACCACGTTCTGATTGATGGACGGCACTTCTCCGACAGACATTATCGAGGTGAGGACCTATCGTGGGGCTAACATCGACTCTGACCACTACCTGGTGATGGTCAAACTACGCCCAAAACTCTCCGTCATCAACAATGTACAGTACCGACGCCCGCCACGGTACAACCTAGAGCGACTGAAGCAACCGGATTTCGCCTTTACCATACGCGAATCTCGAGGCAGCGTTGCCAGAGGAGGGCGAGCTCGATGTGCCCTCTCTAGAGAACTGCTGGAGTACAGTAAAAGCAGCCATCACCGACGCCGCCGAGAGCACAATCGGGTACGTGGAAAGAAGTCGACGGAATGAATGGTTCGACGAGGAGTGCAGAGCGATTTTGGAGGAGAAGAACGCAGCGCGGGCGGTAATGCTGCAGCATGGAACCCGACAGAACGTGGAACGGTATAAACAGAAGCGGAAACAACAGAACCGCATCTTTCGGGAGAAAATACGCCGCCTGGAAGAAGCGGAGTGCGAGGAAATGGAACTGCTGTGCCGTTTCCAAGAAACACGGAAGTTCTACCAGAAGCTCAACGCATCCCGCAACGGCTTCGTGCCGCGAGCCGAAATGTGCAAGGATAAGGACGGGAGCCTCTTGACGGACGGACGTGAGATGATTGAAAGGTGGAAACAGCACTTCGAGGCGCACCTGAATGGCGAGGAGAACGTATGCACGGGAGACCAGCACAATGGAGGAAACGACGACGTCAGTGCAGCAGAGGATGGAACTGACGCAACTCCCACGCTGAGGGAAGTTAAGGATGCCATTCAGCAGCTCAAAAACAACAAAGCAGCTGGTAAGGATGGTTTCGCAGCCAAACTCATCAAGATGGGCCCAGAAAAGTTGGCCACCTGCCTGCACCGGATGATAGTCAGGATCTGGGAAACAGAACAGCTACCGGAGGAGTGGAAGAAGGGGCAACGGACCAAATCTTCACCTTACGGCAAATCCTCCAGAAATTCCGTGAATACCAGGTCCCAACGCATCATTTGCTCATTGACTTTAAGGCGGCATACGACAGTATCGACCGCACAAAGCTATGGAAAATCATGGACGAGAACGGCTTTCCGGGGAAGCTGATCAGACTGATCAAAGCAACGATGGACGGTGTGCAAAACTGCGTAAGGGTTTCGGGTGAACTATCCAGTTCATTCGAATCTCGCCGGGGACTGCGACAAGGTGACGGACTCTCATGCCTACTCTTCAACATCGTTCTAAAAGGTGTAATGCGACGAGCCGGGCTCAACAGCCGGGGTACGAGTTTCACGAAATCCGGTCAATTTATGTGCTTTGCGGACGACATGGACATTATCACAAGAACATTCGGAACGGTGGCAGAACTATACACCCGCCTGAAACACGAAACAGCAAAGGTCGGACTGGTGGTGAGTGCGTCAAAAACAAAGTACATGCTAGTAGGCGGAACCGAACATGACCGGATTCGTCTATCAAGTAATGTCATGATAGACGGGGATACTTTCGAGGTAGTGGAGGAATTCGTTTACCTTGGATCCTTACTGACGGCTGACAACAATGTGAGTCGTGAAATACGAAGGCGCATCATCAGTGGAAGTCGTGCCTACTACGGGCTCCAGAAGAAACTACGGTCAAAAAAGATTCACCCCCGCACCAAATGTACCATGTACAGAACGCTAATAAGACCGGTGGTCCTCTATGGACACGAGACATGGACTATGCTCGAGGAGGACCTGCAAGCACTCGGAGTTTTCGAGCGACGTGTGCTAAGGACGATCTTCGGCGGTGTGCAGGAGAACGGTGAGTGGTGGCGAAGAATGAACCACGAGCTCGCTGCACTCTACCCAGCATCCAGCATCCAGAAGGTGGCCAAAGCCGGAAGGATGCGGTGGGCAGGGCATGTTGCAAGAATGCCGGACAACAACCCTGCAAAGTTGGTGTTCGCTACTGATCCGGTTGGCACAAGAAGGTGTGGAGCGCAGAGAGCACGATGGGCGGAATAGGTAGAGCGTGATCTAGTGAGCATTGGGCATGACCGAGGATGGAGAGCGGCATCCGCAAACCGAGTATTGTGGCGTACTATTGTTGATTATGTCTTATCTTAAATTTGATGTTGTACAAATAAATGTATGTACCCATCGTTCAAAACGGGCGCAAGGATGGTGGGTTAGCAATACGGCTTTCGAAGTCTTGTCGAACTCACTACCGCAGTTAACTGTATCACAATTTATTTCTTCAAACCACTAACAAGCATACAGATAACCACATCAATTAACCTCGTTCCGCAGCCACTCGGCTACGATCTTCTCATTGCGATCCAACCACTTGATATTATTAGAAATGTTTTCCAGAGCTTGGACTCTTGCTGATACGCCAGCACCCGCGTCCGGGTAGCGTCGGAAGAAGTCCTCCAGCTCCATCAGCCTCACAGACGACGAGAAGCGGCCCGTAATGGAAGGAATCATGCGACCGAGGTTCCTCTCCCCCAGTGAGTATCGATCGATCAGTCTTTCCCAGTTGAGCCGAACGTGATCCCATGCAACCTGTTCGCCGTGCTTGTTAGCAGCGACGTTCTGAATGCAGGTCAGATGGTCCTGTTCGCGAACCAGCTGATTATCCCACGCATCATCCAGTAGACGGCGCAGGACCTTCGCATCCGGGAAGGCAGCCAGAGCGCTCATCAGTTTCGCTTTCTCGTTGGCGTCAATTTCAGCGCGGAAACGATCCTTGACCTTTTCCCAATCAGTGATGTTGGCGGACCGCTGTATTCCGTAGTAGTAGACAACGGTACGAATGTCAGGGTGGATGTCAACGTCGTTGTCCAACCAATCACGGAAATGTGTGTAGGCTTTGCTGAGGCAATCTTCGTGACCAAAGGAGCAAGCCAAGTCCAGAACGGTCGTACGAAGACGACTGAAAAAAAAAACAAGTTGATCAATAGGTACACGTTTTCTGGCTAGCGATATGGACATACTTCTTCATGAGATCATCTCCGGTGACTTCCCAACCGACGGCAGTGTAAGCTTGTTCGACAAGCTTACGAACGTAGAGCTGAAAATATTGCGGAATTTAGCAAACATTCCAGCCACACAAGCACGATTCACTATACTCACAATGATATCATCGTAGGAAGGATAATCGTAGATCAGATTACGGATGGTCTTCATTTTGCTCGATGCAGCCGCCCACAGAACATATTCCGTATCGTGAACCAAGAACTTGGTCAGTCCCAGTGCCAAATCGTACCTCAAATGTGAAGCATCCGCCAACGCGAAAGCATCATTCAGTAATCCGGTACGGTCGCCGATGCTGAAGGAAGTCACATTTTCGACCAGTAGCTCTCCAAACGTCTGCCACAGATTATCCGGATAGTTGACTCTATAGTAGCCGACCTGATTGTGATTCAATTTGATCCAACTGATCGGCTCGGTAGGGGCATCGATGTAGACTATGGGTACCGTATTGGGGAACCATTTACGTTTGAATTCGGTCGGGTTAGTGGACAAAGCGTAGGTCAAAGGAACGTACCACTTGTAGCTGTCAAAGGAGAAGATTTCGATTAATCAAGAAGTATAAAATTGAATTGGAACTGAATACTAACTCGAACTCGGAAACCTCTGTTTCATTAGCTGCTGGATCTGCGAGGAATCTCGACTGTCTCAGTCGATACTGATTACCAACTCGTTCCACTGTGATAACTGGGAAACCTTTCTGCTTCGTAAAGGTATCCATTACCCGCGTGACAGTAGCCGTCGGTTCCATTGTATCGCTGAACAAATTATCCAACTCATCCATGAGATCCTTGGATTCGCCGTTTCCATACCGCAGTTTGTTAAGATATGCAGTTACTCCTTGTTTGAAAATCGGTTCACTGACAAAGTCCTCCAGCATTCGAATCACGGAAGCCCCCTTGGAGTACGTAATCGTATCGAAAATCTCCGTGATCTGGTTCGGACTTTCCACCTTTACTACAATGGGATGCGAGCCAAGCGTAGCATCCAGATTCAGCACTCCATGGAGGTTATCCAGAGCAAACTGCTCCATAATACCCCACTCCGGATAGGCATGGTCCACTCCCTTGTACTCGATATAGCTAGCGAAACCTTCGTTCAACCACAGCTCGTTCCACCACTTCATCGTTACCAGATTGCCGAACCACATGTGTGCCAGCTCGTGGGCAATAACCTCCGCAACCCGCTGCTTATTAGCCGTGGAGCTGGTCGTCTCATTGTACAGAATGCTTGTCTCCCGGTAGGTAACCAATCCCCAGGTTTCCATCGCTCCGGATACGAAGTCCGGAATGGCAGCCATGTCCAGCTTTGGCAGTGGGTACTCAATGTTGAAGTAATCGATGTAATGCTGAATCACCAGTTCGGCAGTATCGCGAGCGAAGCGGACATTCTGAACTTGGAACGGTGTGGCAAACACTCGTAGCATAAATGGTTTTCCCAGGTTAGGTGTAATTTGTACGACTTCCTCTAGGAAGTCACTCACGATGAACACCACCAGATAGGTACTCATCGGTACGCTGGGATTGAACACGGTGGTACTGAATCCTGCCAACGGGTTATTTGGAAGGACTTCAGCGACGTCCATATTGGACAGGGCATGGTAACCGTTGGTGTTGGGGTGTACCAAGCGGATGGCGTAGGTTGCCTTCAGCTGAGGTTCATCGAAACATGGGAACGCCTGCCGGGCGAATGTTGGCTCGAATTTCGAGGTGGCAATTTTTCTGTGAATAACAAAGGAAATTTAGAGCGTTAGAAGGCATGGATGGAAACATTGAATTTCGGATTTAGGAGTATTTTTGTTTTTGTGGAAAAACTGAAAAGAACAGACCAAGCGAAGAAGTCCGGTACGGTGGAAGAAGGCCCTGGCGAACCCAAATGTTAACGCAAACCCTACACCCAACCGAGGGATGTAAGATTCGCTTACAATTATGTGGGATTCATCATCAGAGGATGTTAGTGGAGACCACATGAACCGAGGATGCGATATACCTAGCTGCGGTCCAATGCAAGAAAATTGGAGACCGAAAAATGTGGAGTGTATTAGTGAGGTAAATTAGTTATGTCGAAAAAAATAGGAATCCGATTTCCGACTGGACTCGAACCAAGAACGCTTCGATTATAAGACCTGTGCTTTCTCCACTGCTCGCTCCATGCTCCTGAATATGGATAGCCTAAAAGCAAACATGAAGCGCTCATTTTCTCGCATACTCGACTTCGTATGCTTTTTCTGCTGGAGAGATTCGAGGCAAGTGTGTGCGTCGTTCTACAAGCTTACTGGTATAGTCGAAAGCGTAGATAGAACACGAAATGAAAAAGACAAAAAACCATTACATCGCCTGTGAGGTCAACTTCTAACATTCGCTGCGATGTTCATGAACAGAGGATGATAGGAAACGGAACTAACATTCTTTGTAATAGATTTTTGGTTTGCGTGTAGCAATGAATTCTTCTTACTACATAAGGCCTATATTGATCTCACTCGATCACTTGCGATCAATGCCAAGAATGTATCCTTCCTTATCATTAGCCTTCGGATAACGAAAGAAGAGAGTTTTGAATAGGCCTTTTGCTCTCTTATCAAGCCACTGAATTCCCATGTATTACTATACACGAACCAGAATTGTATCAGTCGAAAATAAACCTACCAAACGTACACGACGATCTAACTATCTTGTGATAATTAGAGGAGTGTAATAAATACAAGTGAAGTTAAATAAAGTGACCTTTTTTTACACGCTAATTCAGTCGCGATTTTTTATGCCTAATCCGAGCGTTTCGTAAGTGCCCGCGCAAACACCAAAGTTGGCGATTTTCAGTACATCCTGCTACATTTTGTTGAGTGGGTCGGAGTCAACTTTGGATTTTCACTGGAGAAACGGGGACGGGTCATAAGGCATAAGCATGGTTGGCATACGTATGGTATGCGGAATGACTTTAGGTATACAGGACGGTAGGCGGCCGTTTAAATGCCCGGTAGGCATACTGTGACATTTGTATTTCTATGGGCATGTGAAGTTGTACCGAAATGCATCAGAATATTAGCGGGGTAACGAGCGAGATGAATGACGCCAAGTATGACTAGGGTTACCATAGCAAAACATTGAAATGGACGTAATTTCACATGCAGTTAGGATTAAAAGGAGCACAATGTCTGTATTTTAAGCATTTAAGGAAAGCTATGAGTCGGCGAGGTAGTAAGGGTCGTCCTTGTCAAACCATGCTTATATCGTGATATCAATAGCAATATTTTTCACGCCGGCGATTTAAAATTTTTGTTTAGCTCGTGATATCCATGTTTGTCTATAATTGATTTCAGAATTGGAGTTCACTTTAGAATTGGAATCATCAAATTCCGGTTCCATTCGAATAGTTATCACAAATCGCTTGGAATGCCAGTCAGGATGCTTTCGATGTTTTGTAGTTATTTCCTTGGTATACTAAATCATGTCTGAATCTAAAGTATACCAAGGAGTCTCATTATGTCTAAATCATGGTCTACAGAACCCTCATAAAACCAAAATTGTTACTTGGGCTATTACCCCTTGTATTCTATTCAGGAGAACAAACATGATCCCCAAGTGTATAGTTGTAGTTGTCTTTGTACGTCGCATTGCATTTATGTATCTGTCTCGTCGTAGGAGATCACTTGATAAGAGATTAGAGATAAGGACTATTGAGAGTCTTCGTGTGGTACAATCATATTCTTATACCCAAGGAAGTTGAGAAATTTTCCAACCCGAAAAATTTCTAGACCGGACCGGGAATCGAACCCAGCCATCTCCAGCATGGTCTTGCTTTGTAGCTGCGCCTTTACCGACTGAGATAAGGAAGGCCCCAAGCCAGCTGGATGTAGGTAGAATAATAAAGATAGTTAACATCATCCCGCCGGGGAATAACCTCGTCATTGTATAAATCCGCAATAAATCAGTTTTTGGGAAGCTAAGTGTTTCATGTTTCTTGCAGTTCAAGAACATTTTTGTTAAGAGATTGCTCGTTTGTGCGCGAGAAGTGAAATCTGCGAAATTTTGCAACAACAGAACTATCGAACTGTGAAGTCAGTGAATTTGGCGAAAAACAGTGAATTACGCGAGAAGATCGAAGTGCTGCTGGATAACCACGATGAAGAAGCAAACGATGCTGAACAAGCTGGATCCAAGAAAAAGGCTGCTCGAGAACAGGAGAATTTTCTAAAAGTTCGAAAACCGTTTCTGTAAGCTGAAGTCGGCATACGTATCACCAGTGTGTCAAGTGCTTCCGGAACAAGCCGATCCAGCAGAGTGTAGCAGATCTTCCAAAATCTCGTGTGACTCCAGCACGCCCGTTCGCAATCAGCGGCGTCGATTACTGTGGACCAGTGTTTCTGAAGTCAACGGTACGTAATCGTGGGCCAACGAAAGCGTACATCGCCATTTTCGTATGCTTTTCAACGAAGGCAGTGCACATCGAGTTGGTCACGGACTTGTCCACACCAGCGTTCTTGGCTGCACTTCGCCGATTCGTCGCCCGCCGTGGCCTTGTTCGAGAACTCCATTCGGACAATGGCACTGCATTCAAGGGAGCAGCTAACGCACTCCATCGCATCTACGAGATGTTGAAGTCCAGTGAAACTGACCGAGCTCACATCCAGACCTGGTGTGCCGAAAATCAAATCCAGTGGAAGTTCATTCCACCACGCGCCCCACACTTCGGAGGATTGTGGGAAGCCGCAGTGAAGTCAGCCAAACATCATCTCCTGCGTGAAATCGGCCACATCAGCATCCGTCAAGAGGACATGATAACGCTGCTAACACAGATTGAAATGTGCCTCAATTCAAGACCACTGACCCCAATTCCGTGCGATCCTACTGACCTCGAGGTTCTAACGCTTGGTCATTTCTTGGTTGGTTCGAATCTACAATCCGTTCTGGAGCCAAGCTACGTCGACACGCCGGACAACCGTCTGGACCACTGGCAAATCACCCAGAAGCTATTCCAGCGCATTTGGGCCCGGTGGTATCCGGAGTACCTTACTCAACTCCAATCTCGAGCAGCAAAGGGTTGCAAAGCACTATTTCCTATCAAGGTGGGACAAATCGTGGTCATCAAGGATGAGAATCTTCCTCCTGCATAATGGCCGCTCGGAAGAATCACCCAGCTACACCCTGGCAAAGATGGGATCGTTCGCGTCGTCACCATGAAGACAGCAAATGCCAACAGCGTCGTGAGACCAGTTGCGAAGATCGCAATCCTGCCAGTTCCAACCAAAGACCACCAACCGAAGTAACAGCAGTTCCTGAAACTACAAAGACCGGTAGAGCAGTCCGAAACTAGCTCGATGCGCATATGGAGCGCAATCAGGTGATTAGCGTTCCATTAATTTAAACCAAACCGTTCGATCTACCGGGTCTTTTGTTGTTCACAGATCTCCGTTTCGTGCAACCTCGTGCCATCCTCCATTCAGTCGTCCTCAACGATTCGCCAACAACTGAATCAATGTCCGCCAATCACCATCGCAAAGGTGAATGGTTCAGTCATGATTTCGGAATCGTACTGCCGAAGACATCCGATCGTGAGGAGAGAGTGGAGAGTACAACTACGAGAGATGAGAGTTCAGAGGGTTGAAACAATGGGAATGTTTCAAGGTGGCCGGAATGACCAGTACCCACTGGTTATAATAAAAAATTAATTTTGTAAATATTGTAAATACGTAATCCTAATCATAAGTATAAAACTAAAGCTAAATCCTTAAACCATTGGAATTAAAACTAAATCGATCTAATGCGACTAACAACAACAAATATGACCCACCCTAATGAGGATCGTCAATTCTCACTCAAGAGAGATTACTCAATCCAGTGGTCACTCAATTGCACTTGACCACACAGCAGAAATGTGTAAAGGTACATTGTAGATCAGTTGCAAATATACCGCGGTAACGTTCGCAGCATCCCAAAGCCGGCTTTTTGTATGTCCGAAAAGATAGTCAACGGTCGTGTAAGTGCGTGAAGGTGGAACATCAGCAGTGTTTCAGCGTGCCAACTTCCTCAGTGATTTCTGTGCGCCGTTCGAAGGCCGAACGGAAAGAAACACCTCCGAATCCCGCCAAATACAGAGCCCACGGCTCGAACATTACTTCCTACCAAAGATTCAATACCGCATGATAATCACCATCCTCAACAACCAACAACCACATTTTCCAAAGTCATGATTTCTGAAATCATTTTGCCATCCTTTACTGGCAAATTGCGTGATACCTTTCGGAGTTCGATTCCTCAGAATGCGCAGTTGAACCCGATAGGCAAATTCACGTACCTGAAGTCATCACTTACGGGAGATGCTTAGAAGGAAATCAACACTATCGAACTTTCCGCTGCAAATTATGAGGTTGCATGGAAGGTACTTCAAGGTCGATCCGAGAATACAAAAAAAAAACCCATTGTGAAGCCGTACCTGGATGCACTCTTTTCGCTAGAGCCACTTAAGAAGGAGTCATACGATGGATTGAATCACCTCATCAGTGAGTTCGGAAAGAACCTGCAGATGATGGACAAGATCGAAGAACAAACTGCCGATTAGAGCACTATTATCAACAATCAATACGAAACTAACGATTTTAAATTGGCTCACCACTTTAGTAGCCTATTGGTCCCAAGCAAACGATTAACGTACCCTATTCTAGTTGAAATTCTATTACTACACTATGTTTGTTTTGATTCGCTATGAAAGTTTGACAGATAACATC